ATATATATATATATATATATATAGATATATATATATATATATATATATATATATATATATATACATATATATATACAGTAAAATCGTGTTAATGTATATATATATATATATATATATATATATATATATATATATATATATATATATATATATATATATATATATATATATATATATATATATATATATATATATATATATATATATATATTAGATATATTTGTATAAACATTTGAAGAATCATTTGACAATATTTTTTTGTAATTTTATTATTTAAACTGTTAACAGTTAATATCTTAAATATATCGTAACATAAAATCTTTTGCGTCTTTTTCGTAACTACACATTCCAGAATGCTTTTTCCGTAAGGAATTATTTCGTAAGTATTCTTACGAAATGATTTGTTTCGCAAGTTTTCTTTCGCAATGCTTTATTACGGAATTTTATTTACTATTTATATTTTCGTATAGCGCGTTACGGAATGTGCATTTTTGCATGTGCAACTTCCGCAATAACAATTCTATTACGGTAGATAAAAATGCGAAATTTTCGCAAGTTTTGTTTTTCGGCGAACAACCCTATATTATACTATTATACACATTATACTATTAACTATTTTCGGAACAATTCTAATGGCTATAACTTAAAAACACATCCTCGTTTTGAGTTTTACGCAAAAGGATGGAATATTTCGTCGGATGGAATATACTACCACAGCAAGCACAATATTTTGATACATGTTCGCATTAGTAGTTCAAGTTATAGCTTTTAAAATAAACATAAAGCAAAAAACAAACAAGAAGCTGCAGTAGAAAAGAGTTTTTGATGTTAATAAGCTTGAGCAAGTTTAAATTTTGTTTTAAAATGCGTTGCTATGGCGTTGCTACGGACTTTTCAATCTACTATGGCCACAAAACACATAATTGTGCACACTTCCTTAATTATTTATGAAAAAAATAATTAATAATATTATTCTATGAAAAGTTTTGAATTTAAAAAACCAATTTTCAAAAAATTGATTTTTTCTAAAAAATTTCGAAATTAATGGGGATGTACCACCTTAAGTTCTTATGGTCTTTTTATAATTTATTAAATTTTATTAAGAAGATTTTGCTTTGATTTTGTAGTTTATTTTCATCAAGTTTATTTTTATCAAGGTAACGTGATGTTTCTATTCTTACCCCTCCTGTGCAGTGCCGAATCAAGAGGGGGCTATAGCCCCGGGCCCCGTAAATTTAGAGGCCCCAAAAAATTTTAGAGGACTTTTTGTTTTCTAGTCATTGTTAGGCTCTGGCCCATAAAAAAGACCTCCAAAAACAAATATAGCCCCAGGCCTCAAGAAGTCTTAATCCGCCACTGCTCCTGTGGGGACTCGATTTTTTTATTCTTTCATAAAATTTATATGGTCAAAAGGTAATAAGTAAAATACTGCTATTGTAGGTTCGTATTTTTACTTTTTAAAATTTTACGTTTTGTTTCAAAAATTAACAATTTTTGAAAAGAAATAACAAATTTTGAAAAAAAATAACGAATTTTGTAAGTGAAGGCATCTACCCCTCAACACCCAAAGTAGTAGTAACAGTTGAAGAAGTCAGGACCAGCGATAGGGGCGTAACAGCGGCGGCGTAAGTGATAGTGGAGAGGGCCATGCGCAACCTCTCATTATTTATTTAAGTAGTTTTTGCCCCCTCTTTAACTTTAAAAATATTTTTTTAGATTATTTTTACCCTGATGTCATACAGTAACAATAATATTCGTGAAATGAAACTCAAAATTTAGTCAAAGAACCTTGTTATTAGCCCCCTGAACTTTTTTAAATTAACGGAAACAAAGGTTAACTTTATTTCTAACCTCTAAAGTAAGCGAACTGACTACTGCACCACGGCTGCTCCTAAAACTGCGGAGAAAGGAGGGGCGAATTAGAATGCTTCCCCCTCCCCTGCCCCACTTTTAAAAACGCTCTGCCTCCGCTGAGGTGAAACATCTCTCTCCACCTCAGTCTTGATTTTTAGTCGCCAAATATGGACATGGTTTGACCTAGTCAGAAAATATAAAAAATCAATCGGCAATATGCTTATGGAACCCCTAAAAATAAGTCATTACTGTCTAGGTAAGCGAAAGATACTATGACCCACGATGAGGAAATAAAAATATCTTTTGATTATGCGAACTTTGTTATTACGTCATGCTAATACTAGTTAACGTTGCGTGATCCAAGTAAACTTAATGTTTTCGTTTATTTCGCACGTGCTTCAAGAGTTTAAAAAAATGCATGAAAGTAAAAATAAAAGTAAGTTAGTAAGTTTTTTTGTTAAAGTAATTATAAGATTGGAAAGTAGTATTAAAAAGTGTTCATTGACTGAGGGAAAAAGGTCATTAAATAAAAATTAATTAACATATTTGTTATTGACGTTGCTAATCTGCTCTTTAAATAATAATCCTGTCTTTTTATATACAAAAGATAAAAAGGAAGTTTAACTTGCTATTGTGTGTACCTTTATACTTAATTTACTTTTAAATATTTGCTTACTTATATTTTTGAATTCATTTATTATTAGTATTTTAATGGTGCGTATAATGGCATTACACATGGTACTACTTAAGTAGTAACAACAACAAAATCTGAGCCTGCTTATGCTTATAAACGATATGGTTGGATAAAAATAAAATCTAGTGAATAATACAGTATATATATATTTATTTAATATAAAAATAATATTAAACAATAACAATAAACCATTTAAAATACTGTTAAATAATACCAATAAACAGTATCAAATAACATTATACCAATATAATGTATCAATTTACATTTATTTATATACCATGGTATATTAGTAAAAAATATTGAAATTGATATATCATATTGTACAATAAGTACTTATTGTACAATATGATATTAATTTCAATATTTTTTACTAATATACCATGGTTTATAAATAAATTTAAATTGATAAAATTTACAAAGCAATAAAACTTCAATGAAATTTTATTGAGGTTTTATTGCTTTGTAAAAGATTCAAACCAAACTTTTGCTAAAGTTTAGTTTGAATTTTTTTTTTCAGAGTTAGAAGATGTTAATAACAGGAATTTTTTATAGCTGAAAGAAAAAGTCATATAATTCTTTATGAAGATGAAAATGAGGCCTTGTGTTACATAAAACAATACGAACTAGAACCCACTGTTCGCTTTGTAGCATGGTTTACACCCAAAGGATTTGGTAACACAGGTTTGAACCTTTTTTTGATTTATTTAATATCAACTTTAGATGCAAATGTTTGAGTTTGAGTTGTCACAAAATTCTTAAACACAAACTTTCCAAAGTAAGTGAAAATAGTTCAAAAAGTAAATAAAATACATTATAAAGCATGAACACAAAATAAGTGTGAAAGTAAAAAAATAGCTATAAAAAGGTACTCATTGACTTTTATTGGGAGCTAAGTATTAATTTTAACACATTAATATAAGAAGATAAAATATTTCAAAGAAATTAATTTATTCCTGTGGATATCTAATAAAATTTCAAACTTTTGTTTTGGTGGTATACATAAGCTTGCGCACAGATCAAAAATCAAAACTATTTGATGTTTTTTAAATAAAATTTTCAAATCTTTAGTGTTTCTGCATAGTTTATTTAATTTGTTTTTTATTTGTCGTCTAATGGTTACCTAGTACTTTGCAATAATTTTTAATACTAGGCAGTTAGGAGGATTTGCTAACTTAGACAACTTTAAGGTTATTTTTTTTTATACCATCTCATAGCCAGTTTGCTATAATGACTTGATGATAAATCAGGCCAGAATACATGTCTACTATCATGTGATTTTGTAGGAGGTAAAAGATGTTTTTGTTAACATGATTTAACATATATTATACCAAAAAGTGTGGACTAAGAAGTATAGGGTGCTGATTTTTTGTTATACCTGCAAATAGCTTGCAAAATCAAAGGATTTGCTGATGATCATACTATATATAAGTTTCATAATATTCAATATTTCAGAAATTTTTAGAAATATAGTTGTCATACAACTTTCTTTAGTGGATTCTTGCTTTTTTTTTGAATTTTAGAACAGACAGATTTTGTAATATGAAAGCTTGAAAAACATGATTATATCAAGCTTTTATGACAAAACAATGAGAAAATCCTCATATTTTTGTGCATTCCATTAGCGAGAGGCTAATATTATTCAAAAAACTGGGAACCAGTTATCTAACTAGTTTTATATCTTGAAAAACCTCCTTTTCTCAATTACCAGATTTGCATTTGATTGATTTTGTTTAGGGAAAACATTAAATAACATGACTGACGTTGTAGAAATGTAATTGCAACTTTTTTTGCTACTGAATTGTAGCTAAATTCAGATTTTTAATAAATTTTGTGCAAAGTATTTTTTTTGAGTGTCTTCTTCTTTCGCCATTTTTTAAACTTATTTTAAGTTAAATGAGAAAATTAAAAACCTATTTTGCAATCATTACATGCTGTCAGCAAAATACAAACACAATTAAAAATATATTAATACAAGCACTGAAAAAAAATTACGTATTTACTCTTTCACATTTATTTCGTGTACACGCTATAAATTGAAAAAAATTTAATGTCACATTTTCTCAGCTTTAAAATCATGTCTCTATTGTTTGCAATTACGTTACCATTTTTTTGCAGTTATTATTTTTGCTTCTCCTTGAGTAAGAAATTTTTGTAATTATTTTTTATCCAGTTTAAAAGCTTGTTTAAAAGAAGTCTGCCATGAACTATTTAATTTTATTAACTAAAAATTAAATAGTTCATGGCAGACTTCAATCTCAAACTTCAAACATTTTTCTCAAATTTTCTATAAACCAAAATTACTTTCTTTAATGTAAAAAATTTGATGTAAATGTAAACAGTGGCTTCAAAATATAATATTCCAATACATGATAGTAAAAGTTATACAAATAAGCTACTGCTCTAAATCGAACATTTAAAAATTGTTAATATTTAAATTTCATTGCATTGTCATACTTTATTTCAATTTCTTTTCATATGGTTCTTTGTAAAATGGTTCTACTTTACTAGAATTTGTAAGTGAATGTTTAAATTATTAATTGTTTACTGTAAATCCAATGTTTCTCATTGAAGTTTGGTTAGCTTATTATATCATTTTTTGTATAAATGCTTTCAGTGTAAAGCAGACACTGTCACATTTAGATGTACATAGTGAAAATTATAAAGTTTTATGGGAAACTGAAGGATCTTATGCTAAAACCTTTCCTGGTTTTAGCACAGAAAGTTTTAGATTGTTCACATGGAACAGATTGCAATAATGCAAGAAAAAAAAACATACAAGGATAAAACAAAAGCAAAGGTAAACTCCATTGTTTATAACACTTTTATTCTAAGTTGTAGTTTTATAAAAAATATTTAACTTACTAAAGTATTGCTGGAATAATTTTAGAAAACTGAACACTCTTGTCAAAAAAGTTTTTTTAGTGTGCAAGACACAAAAAAATTCCAATGTCCAGCACAAGTTTCTATGAAGGAAATTATATATTTCAAAGATTATAAGGTATTTTTTAAACAATTTACTCTAATTGATAGAAATACGTACATCCATGTAAATAGTTTGAAAAAAATCTATGACTTTTAGAACTGTTTCTTTAAGAGCTATATATTTAGAGCCACTTATTGCATCTTTTTTATTTTATTTATCATCTCTTAATTAAAAGCTTACAGAACCCACAGAATGGAAAAAGAGAATTAACTCTTTGCAAATAAGAAATTTGTTAAAAGTAAAAGGTGATATTGGTATGACTAAGAAGAAAATTATGCTTATTGTAGATGACATTTCAGAACATAGAAACCATGCGGTTGGAGAAGTAAGTTATTTTTATTTTTTAATATATTTATGCTGTGTTATGGTGGAATAAAGTAATTAAATAGGTAAGTTTAGCAATGTAATGTATTTTAGCTAAATGACAAAATATGTCTTCGTTATTCTTCTTTATGTAGCTTGCTGGTATTTCACAGGAAATAGATCCTAGGTTATCTAAAGAAATTATAAGTTATGCTAATGAAATCAAAAATGTTCGAGAAATGAGGCGTCTATAAAAAATCTTTGTAAGAAATGACCTATTTGATAAAAGTGATATGCCTGATATAAATAATAGGTGATTTTTTCCAAGTAACAATATTATTTGAGTGCATATGGTTGCAGCACGAAAAAAATTACAACTTTCTTTAATTGATCAGCAATTCTTAATAAAATTAAGGCATGGCATAAAGATGATCCATCTGTAAATATTTTTTTTCGCCCTAAAAACAACTTGAAAAAAAATGATGCAACAGATACAATAATTCAAAATGAAATTAATAATGAAGATAGTACTGAAACAGATGAGGACCTAAAGTTTACTGAAAATGATTCTGAAAACTCACTTTTATTTGTTTATCAATCAGAATGGCAATGCAAACTTGTGCGTCGATATGGAAATGAAATGCTCTTATTAGATGCAACTTATAAAACAACGAGATATGTTTTACCCGTTTTCTTTTTAGTAGTCAAAACAAATGTTGACTACCAAATAGTTGGGTGCTTTATCACTGAGAACGAAACAAAATGAGCAATATGTGAAGCTTTGCGTGTTTTCAAAAGAATGAATGTGAAACTTTCTCCATCTTTTTGCATGACGGATTACTGCAATGAGGAAATTGATGCTTTAGAAGAAATTTTTCCTGGTAAGTTTTTTAGATTATTAGCCTGAAAAAAGTTTCTCAGGATTAGAAATAATTATTTTAATGTACTCTATTTTGAATCTATATAATTTGAAAACCCCTTTAAACTGGATGGGTTTTGAAACCCATCAGTAATCTCCTCTCCTTAATTCAAGCTGTTTTTAATATTTGTGGCATAATCTGCTTTATAATGATTGAATTCTTTGATTAAATTTTTTAAGTTTTTGAAAAAAATATTAGCATGAATTAATTTCTTATCTTTAAAAACATTTATTACACACTTTGGTGAAAAAAAATTAGGCAAAATTATGTTCAACAACTTTAGAGACGATTTAAGGTGGTACAACACTAAATATTTTCTAAAAATTTAAAAAAAAAAAGTGAAATTTTGATATTTAGCTCATTTAAAAGGCAATTTATTGTAGATTAATAATATAAAAAGCTAATTCCCATCTTATTTTTTTTATTTTTAGATAAATAAACTGGCTAAAATAAGTTTGTATAGGAATCACAAGAGTATTTAATCTTGTTTTGTGTTTTTCTCCGTTTTCTAGTTTTTCTAAATATTGTCTGATTATCAACATGATATCTTTTGAAGCAGAAGTGCAAATCACTTCAAACTTTCAGGATATGTTTATTATACTATTTTCTATAGAGTAACATTGCAAAATTTTTAAATTCTGCTCCAATCTCTTTATATATGGTTTTATATTCTAAAATAGTTTTTTTCATTGCTTGATGTAAAAAAAAACTGATACAATTTTTTATGTAGTTTGAAAATCTTAAAATCCAAATGTCAATACCTTACCTTACTTGTCCAGAACATATGTGAAAAATTTCATGGATTTTTTATTAATATGTTTCAAGTTATCATGTTTTGAATAGACCCATTAAAATGAATGTTTTTCGATAAATCCGAGGCAAAGTAATCGAGGTAATGTGTAATGAAGTATAAAATAGCATTCTAAATTAATGTAATTTTCATTGATATAAACTTTTTTTTTAAGTTTGAATGTTTTTATATATTTGGTGGTGTACCACCTTAAAAAATTAAAATTTATATAATAGTAAGGCTTGTAAATATAAAGCTTTTTTAATGACACCAAGTTCTTGTTGTTGATATAGATTTATAAGGTTATAAAAAAAATCTAGAATTACTGAGTTTTTTTGTAACTGTATAAAATTAACTCATAATATATTTAACTTTCAATAAAAGAAAATCCCTCCAATTTGAACCTTTATTTCTCCCATTAACATTCGATTTAATGAGATTATACAGTAGTATAGTAGAAATTATGCTGTTATGAGAAATAGTGGAAAATAGATTTGTTAAAATTTCTTTAATTTGATTTATTTGTGAAGTAACTAATTCAAATTTTTTGCTCAGGTTGTAAAGTTTTGATTTGCGACTTCCATTGTGAACAGGCCTGGGAGCGTTGGTTAGTAAAAGTATCAAACGGTTGTGCTGATCAAAAAGCAGATATCCTCCAAAAGCTAAGAAAGATTTCTCATTCAACAAATGTTGATGCAATGGAGTTAGCTATTCTGGATTTAAAACAGTCTGAATATTGGAGTAATGAAAGATTTTCAAAGTTGAAAAAGTATATAGAGACTTATTAGTTACCGATTATTGAGGTATTATATCATTAAATATTTTAATTAAAAATAGATTCTTCCTGAATTTTATGTCCAAAAATGAAGCAGGAAATTATTCTGTTATTCTGTAGCAGAATAAAAAGCTATATAATTTATTTTGTATTTTACACTTTTTAGCGTTGGGTTTGGGCATACCGTCAAAACCGTCTACTAGTGAATTTAAACACAAATAATGGAGTCGAAAGACAAAATAAATCATTTAAATATTCTTATCTCCAACAATTTAATAGTTCTTCATTAACTGGAATGCTAACTATCCTAATTGAAGAGTTTTTTCCAGTTAAATACCAAAGGTTGTTTAATGTCACATTGTGCAACAAATTGTTTTAAGTTTTATTATTTATTCTTTTGCTCTTTTTTTTTTAGCTGTATTGAAAAAAACTTTAAAATGGATTCTAGGTATCGTCCTTATGCAAAGATAATACCAAGTTTCCTAATAAATCGACCTCGTGAAATGGTTACACATTGCCTTAAAAAAATCAGTCTTGCTGAAAGCTTTGATTTAGGTAAGGTATCAATGATAAATCATGGTATATTCTCCATTAAAGGTGTTACAGTAAACTACCAAATTGATTTTGGAAATGACAGTAATATGCCAAACTGCACATGTTCTTCATGGCGTTTATCTTGTTATCCATGCAAGCATTTTTTTGGAATTTTCAGAAAGTTCCCACTCTGGCAATGGGATGCATTACCACTAATATATCGCAATTCACCATTCCTAACATTAGACAATGAAGAAATTCATTTTCAAAATGAGGAAGTTACATCTACAAAAGACAAATGTGACACTAATTTTACCGATTCTAAAAAGATAGTAGAATCAGAAGAAATAAATGAAGAAAACATTTGTAATAATAGTTTAAATAAAGAAAGCGTTTCTGCTGGGAACTGTAGAGAGCTACTTAATGTAATTAAAAATCAATTGTATAATGTAAACAAAAATGTTGATGTTTTTGAAAAAGTATATAGTCTGCTAATGGAGGCGTCTAAGCTTTTAAATGAAAACACTACCCATGAGAGTGGAATACCTATCAGTCAGCAGCAGCCTGCTAAATACTGTCACATTTTAGATTTGCCAAAAAGGGGTAAAAAAAAGTCTTATTCAAATTGTTGTGGAATAGCTAAGGACGAAAAAAAAGCTGGAGAAAAGATAAAAATTACAACGTTAGACTGTCCTGTTGTCAATGTTGAAGAGGAAGTTATCATAGAAGACATGGATCTAGATGGTCTGACTTCATTTAATTGTAATGTACCAAATAATCATGTAACGTCAAAAGAAGAGTTTGAGAAAATGATTGCAATAAAAGACAACAGCCAAGAACTATATGTTTTGAATCTTTGTTGTCCTATCACCAGACAAGACTTAAGCACAATTTGTAATAATGAAATGCTAACGGACAACATAATTAATGCTGCACAAAAAATGTTGTTACAACAATACCCAAGTACTAAAGGTCTGCAAGATCCTATTCTTGGACAAAACCTAAGTTTTGCAATTTTAAAAAATGAAGAGTTTGTCCAAGTGTTACATAATGGGTGTGCTCATTGGTTTGCGATCAGTACTGTAAGGTGTGAACCAGGGCATGTCTTTGTTATGGATAGTCATTTTAAAACCCCTCAAGCTTGTTGATGGTAACTACTTAACTATATTAAAAGTCATTGTTTTAAAATGATACTTTATTTTTTAGACACATGGTTGAATGCTCAGGTTGTTTGCAGTGGTTTCACAGAATGTGTGAAAGAATTTCAGACGATGTTCTTAATAATAATGATATAAACTGGTATTGCTCCATGTGTGAAAAGATAACAAATACAAATTGATGATGATGATGATAATTTATTTTTGTGCCCATTGCTCTTATTAATTTTGTTATTTATAAAAAAAATGATTTAAACCAGTTAAAAAAGTATTGCTTTCAATATATATATATATATATATATATATATATATATATATATATATATATATATATATATATATATATATATATATATATATATATATATATATATATATATATATTTAATATATATATAATATATATATATATATATATATACTATATATATATATATTATATATATATATATATATATATATATATATATATATATATATATATATATATATATATATATATATACATATACTATATATATATATATATATATATATATATATATATATATATATATATATATATATATATATATATATATATATATATATATATATATATATATATATATATATGTCTATATATATATGGATATATTTGTTCATTATATTATGGAAGCGGAAGGAAATTAAGTGTTTTCTGTAGACAAAAAAAGTAATCCCCTCAATATATTTCCTCAAGAAAATAAAATTCTATGTCATGGTAAAAAAAAATTATCACAGTTATATTGTAGCAAGGAAAATTTAGCAGCATTTGGTATTGTAATAAATAAATAAAATGTTTGGTATTAAATAAATTCATGTCTAAATATTTTTAGGTTTAATAAAAGGCAAGTAATGAAACCATTTTAGGTTTCACTACTTGCCTTTTATTTTTTATTTTAGTTCCTTTAAAATATTTTTAAATAATTAATGTAAACTTCCTGTTGGTTGCAATTTATTGAGAGCTTTTGGTTGGTAGCAACAATTTACTGCGCCAATACCTTTAAAGCAACAGATAATTAACGGGTATTGTATTTTTACTTTTAATTGTGTTGTTGTAAATTAGAAATTGTTATTCAGCTTTTTAAAGCCTTATTCAGTTAGCAATAAATCAAATGTAATTTTTTTGATCAGCTTGATTTTTAGAATATGAACAGTAGTACGTGTTCCCAAGATAATTGTATACAGAAACAGTTAGCACTTGAGTCAAAATTAAATTAAATTTTTCAGGTTTGTTATGCTTCAGCTTTTTGTTGTGAAACCATTAAATTTTTTCATATTAATTATTCATATTACAATAAATAAAAATCTTTTCTTCTGACATACATAGTCGACTCACAACTCTTGCATCTTTTGAACTACGATTACAAATGACTGCTTCAGAATGCTGGTGCTTAATTTGAAAAATATTTTCAAAACAAAATATAAGCTTGTTTCAACAAAATTATTTTGCAAATTTTTATATGATTTTACAAATGATTGGGTCAATTTTCTGTAAACGAAATTATGTTTCATATGTTAAGGAGATTTTTTATTGTGCAAAATCACATTCTGCTCATATTGAGATTTATGTTTAATGGCAGTCAAGATTTAAGTAATTAATTACAAAATGAAATCATAGAAAAGGAGCGTAGGTTATATTATATGTTTTTTTATGAGTAATTTTGGCCTTTCTTTGTGTGGTTCTTTTTTACTTATTTAGACTATATCATCAAGAACTTGTTGGTCGAGAGAATTGCGAAGTGCAGCGCACGCATTTATGTAAGCAGAATCTGTTATGCCATTATATATGCTGTTATATTCACGGATCGGAAGAAATTGAGACAAAACAATTTTGGCATTATAATGGTGTTATATTTGCTGTTATGTTATGGCGTTATGTTATGGTGTTAAATTTAAAGATGTTTGCTATTATTTTTACTGATGGTTTTGCATTTATACTTGCTGTTATATTTGATGTCACATGTGACAGCAAATATATCAGCAAAATATCATTGCAATAAATAAAAAATTTTGAAACTGGCACATTAATTTTAAAGCGGTATCACGAGATGGCAAAAGTGAAAGGAAAATTAAATGAAAGCAATTAAAATTAACTTTAAAGAAAAATCTCAAATAGTTATTGCTGTAATGTTTTTGTATTTTGTGCAGCTGGTAGGTATATTTAATTTTAAAGATCTTGTAGAAAATGTAATGAAATTTATCTGTTTTAATTCATTGTGTTATTGAGTATTTACAATTTAAATTGAAAGTTATCATTAGAAAACGCTCATGCATCCAGTTATAACTAAATAACGTGCATTTTATTTGAAAACAAAATCAAGTGTTGTATCATTTCAAATCAAAATCTAAAAATACCTTATAACTTTCTTTAAACTGTTAAAATAAAATTATAGAACCAAAAAGTTTGTCACTTCTTTTTTAGTATAATGGTTTGAATTAGTAGTAAAGATGATTGTCAATGATGCCAAGTTATATTTACATTGTTTTCTATTTTAGCTCACGAAACCTTCAATTTGTCTATAATTGAAGAAGTTAATTGAAACAGCTGTTAAGTAACTGCTAATAGTTTTACTGCTCTTCTTAATGTACAAAGGAGCTTATGATTCAAGCTCCACATCTTGTATCGACAAAAATATATCCAACTCACAACAAGTTAGGTTTTTATCTGATTTAAATAAAGCTGACACAGCTCAATCAACTCATGCCAAAAGTTCATCTATTTTAAATAATTGTGTAGATTTTGTGGTTCCACCAAAGAAAATAACTTAGAACTCAGAAAACCAATATATGGCTGGAGAATCTTGTATGAGTGTTGTGCAGCCTCCGGTAAGACAATTATCTTCATCAGTTATACAATATAGTGCATCTAAAAACATCTTCGAGACACCACGAAAGGTAATAAATTATAACTGTTCTATTTTTTATTGTAAAATTATAACTTATAGTTATATGCTTCATCACTTAAAACTGCATGGTATATTTATTATGTCAAACATTTTACTATGTCAATTTTTTTTTAGGCTTCAACAGTTCTTTTTGATTCTGATGAGGTTTCTCACTTAAGGACCTTTTTTAGTATATCTACTTTGAACTTTTTACACAAGTAAAAACAATGATATTTTTAAAGAGCACCTGAAAAATTATATTCTTCAGTATTCTCAAGTTGCTCTTCCTTCAGACAGTTGGCACTTCTTTTAAATTTTCAAAACTATTTGGAACCTTCGGTAAGAATTATTTTAATTACTCTACAATATTTGTTAGGTGTGTTTATGATGTATGCTTATAGTGCTTTTGTTGTTGTTGTATTTATAGTTTTTTAAAGATAAATTCTCCTAGGATTTGTTTTTAAGCCAGGCATCAAACATAATTAGGCAACTACGTTGGATCAAAAGTCATCCAACTTTAAATGGATCTGCAAGTAGACAGTTTCAACAGGTTTATATTATAGATTCATTATCTAAAGCTGAATTAGCGCTTTCAGAAGACCAGATTATAAAGCAAAAACAGATTAAAAGCTGAAAAGAATAAAAATCATGAAATAGTAGCTGAAAAGATTAGAATCAAATCTTTAGTTATTTGTGTAGAATAGTAATGATTTAATCTGGTACAACAAAATCTTTTAAAATATTTAAATCGCTAATTTGAAAAAGGGGACATGTCCTGAAAATATTCACTTAACATGTCCTCTTTTTCAAGTTAGCGGTTTATTTGGAAAATACCTGAGTTAAATTAAATTTCTAGAAATAGTAAAATTATAATTTAATTTGTTTGTTTTTTAAGTCTGATAATCTGCTCGATGAATTAAAGGTACCTGCAAAGTATGGTCCGCAAGTTCTGTATAACTTAACACAATATGGCGTTCACAGTAGATCAGGGTGTGAAATGATCAACACAGAGTTACGGACGGTTAAAAAGGTTTTATGCGTTATTGTTTGCATATACTATTTGTTAGACCTCTCTTATCCATCTTCTTTTTCACAACTGAGGGGTCTTTTTTATGAGGTGTTGCTAAACGAATGCTTTGAAAAAAAATCAAAAAAGACTTGCTTTTATATTGCTCATATAAACAGTTAACTCAATTTTTCGATGTCTTTAAGTAACGCTAGTTGTTTACTTTATTAATTTATTAAAATGTTTCATTTTATATTTAAGTTGTTACTTAAAGAACAAGTCGGTATATAAAGCTTTCATTGAAATAATTCTGTAAAGTTTTGAAAATGTATTTATTGACACATGTTTAAAAATATGAAACCTATTTCTTAGTTTGAGCAGTTACATAAAAATTTATTAGTAGATTCTTATCATTGATATGAAATTAGTTTTTACAAGGTATATTTGCGGTGTTCTATTTACAATTATGTTAAAAGTGATTTTATTTCGTCATTGTATAATATTTTGTAATATATATTTTACGCCTTAATAATCTACATCAAACTACTACATCAAACTATTGTTATTATTTAGATATATAATTTACGCGTATAAATGGTTAGTTTAGATTTTATTTGAATAAAAACTAAACATGTTTAAAAAAATATATCGGCAAATTATGCCGTTAGCTTGATTTTCGAATATAACGCCATTGGAGAGCGATATAACTGCATTTTGCTGTTATATTATTATTTAAATTTATATAACAGCATTTTGCTGTTATTTAACTTAATATAATGACATAAGGTAAAAATCTAACACCATAATGACACAAAAAAACGCCATTTATGCTGTTATATCGTATCCCATTGCTGTTATACTTTTGTTTTATATAACAGCATAATTTTTTAGTGTGTACTTTATTCGAGAGTTAAAATATATATTAGTAGACGTACAATAATAGTTAATAATACAGTAAGGAAGTTTTAATCAATCCGCTGTCTTAAAATAAAGAAATACTCTCTATTATTCTTACAGGCATTTAATATTTTATTTCTTTACTAGAGGTAAAAGTGAGACATTCTTATTTTCTCTAGTAAAAATATAAAAAATTATTAGCCTCAATAATATTACGATAAATCATCAAATTGCGTTATATACGTTGATGCAACATTGACTATATAAAGAAAACTATTACATATTAATTTCCTTGTTTTAAGGCAGGAATTTTGCTTGAAAATTAGTTCCTTATTTCAAAAGATACTTTCCTAATGTCATATTTCAATTGGGCAAATAACCTAAAAATTTTTAAACAACACATATTTACTTACTTTTTTTCTTGATTCAAACACTAAATATTATACTGACTATAAAAAATAATGATGTAAGATGGTAGCTTGTTGCTATGGTAACCAATGAAAATAGCTGAAAATTACCAACAAAAATTGGGATTACGCTGTAAAAAAGGTAGTAAAGGAGTGATAATGTAACTTAGCAAAACTGTTCTAAATGTGTAAACTTTTTTAAAAAGTATATATGATGAGTCTTCATAGATGAAACATGTTTCACAATACTCTGTGTTAACACAGAGTATTGTTCTCATTATGAATGATGAAACACAATGTAAAGTGAAAAAATTTTGTTAAATGATTTTTTACCAATAAATTATATTAATAATATTTTTATTTTGTTAAAACTTATTTTAATTTAAAAAAACGATTTTTTAATATTGTTGTTTACGTGTTTTGTTGTTTCATTTATATAAACGTAACTTAACACGTTAACCGCCGAGCTATTTTTAGCTATGGTTTATTTCTTTGTCGAGCCGTAAATTCTGATATGATTAACTTTTGCCGAGGCTGTTTTGCATGGTTTCATTCCCATTGCCAAAGTTAGATATCAACATTTCAATAATTATAATATTTTTAATCAAATAAATTTTTATAGTACTTTTTATACTGAATATAACTGACAAAAAATAAGCACTACGAGTATACTCGTACTTTGGCACTGGTGAATAATTTATTTTCTCCAGTTCCGAAGTACGAGTATACTCGTAAGTATTTTTGAGTATAACTCATTGTGGTGACTAACAACGTAGCTTATTTGATGCATTAGAATAGAGATGTGATAGAATAGAGTTGTGTTTTTTGTTTGCACATGCACATTGGCAGTTATCATGAGTAAAAAAAAGGTAATTTATATTTCGATTTTTTAATTCTAAGTTATTTTTTTTGGATATAATCTAAAATAAGTTTGTAACTACATTGTTATGAATAAAGATTGAAAAACCTAAGTGTGCATTTTAGTTTATAATGTTTTACATGTAAACTTGTAAAATTTTTTAGTATAAATAAGTAATTTCCCCTATACAAATATATAACTTATAAATTTATCTATCTAATAGTAGTTCAATGCAGATATTCCGCAATTGAAGCAACACAAATAGTTATGGAAGATTGTGGAGATAGTGAAGATGATGATATTGAAGACTCAGACTCATTTTTTGCTTATACTACAACGTCTTCCAGCTTGACTGCATCAGAATCAGAACCTGAAGATAATAGCACCGAAGAAAGTGATGACGATCAGTTAACAGAAGTTCATACAGCAGCCACTGCAGAACATTTTTTAATGCCTCTGAAAAGAGCTAGAACAACGGGTGGTCTTGCTTACAGACAAAATCAAAATAAAGCTCGGCAAGTAAATCTAAGAAATATTTTGCCTGACAAAACAACTTCTGAAACAAATCCATCTAGAAATTTAAATCAATGGAAAGATGAGCAGAATATTGTTAAGAGAATTAAATTTACTGCCACTCCTGGTTTGAAGATTAACATGGAAAGCAAAAAACCATTGGATTTCTTTCGACTATTTGTTACAGAAGAGCTTATAAATAGTATGGTAGTTGAAACTAATCGCTACGCAATGCAAGAAATCAATAAGCAGCGTCCGCTTAGAAGAAGCTCGCGTTTTAAAAATTGGAAACCAATAAATTCAGAAGATATGCGGCAGTTCCTTGTTGTTCTTCTTCATATGGGATGTGTTAAATTGCCATCCTTTGAACACTACTGGTCTAAGAACAGTCTCTATAGATTTCCCTTATTTTCTAGAATAATGCCAAGAAATAAATTCCAACTAATGTTACGGTTCTGGCATTTCATTGACAATGAAGATTCGGATGGTGGACGCTTGTGTAAAATTATTGGACTTATTGATAACTTAAATAATACAATGGACAACATCTACTATCCGAACAAAAATATTTCAATCGATAAATCAATGATGCTTTGGAAGGGACGTCTTGTATTCAGGCAATATGTTAAAAATAAGACATAAGTATGGTATCAAGTTCTATGAGCTTTGCGAATCGGATGGTATTGTGCTAAAAGTAAAAATTTACTCTGGTAAGTCAACTCTCGATAAACATTTGTTGGGTCAAACTGGAGCTATTGTTTTAGACTTAATGGAGAAGTTTCTAGGAAAAGGTTATCACCTGTACACCGATAACTTCTACAATTCCTTTAAACTAACAAAGCACATGATAAGTCAAAACACATACATATGTGGTACGTTAAGAACTGACCGAAAGTCAAATCCAAAAGAATGTACAAAAGCTAAACTGAAACGGGGAGACGTTATAAGCAGAAGCAGAGAGGGTGTAGTGATTGCGACATGGAAAGATAAAAGAGACATGCTAATGATTAGCAACTTGCATTCGTTACAAATGATTGAAGTAACAAACAGGAGAGGAGAGAAGAAAATGAAACCCAACATTATAAAAGATTATAATCAATATATGTCAGGAGTTGATAAGGCGGATCAAACGGTATCATATTATGATTGCCTAAGAAAAACAATTAGATGATATAAGAAAGTAGCACTTCATCTCTTTGATATTTTTGTGCTTAACGCTTACTGCCTAAGCAGCAAACACGGAGTAGATAAAACAACTTCTTTCCTTAAGTTTAGAGAATTAGTTGTTACGGATTTATTGGGTGATCGCTTAAATGAAATTGTTCCTCGAATCACCAATAATAGTCTCCACTACTTGTCTTCGATACCGCCTAATGAAAAGAAAAAACTGCCTACAAAACCATGTCGTGTTTGCTCTAAAATAAAACGAAAAGAAACACGATATGAATGTGCTGTTTGTGAAAATAGACCTCCGTTATGCGTTGGCGAATGTTTCAGAATGTATCATTCAAAAGAATAGGTTTACATTTTAATTTTCAAGAAATAAAATTTTAAAAAATTCAATACTTTACTTCTATTTGTTTGAAAAAAAAATTTTTTTTTTTCCGTATTTAAATTTCATTCCCGGGATTTTTAAAGTAAAAACTTATGTGTATTCTGTTATGAGAATAACAGTGAAGCTAAAAAAAAAAAAAAAAATTAAATAGATAAAGCCAATCATGCACAAATATTATTTGAAATAAGTTAGTATAACTACAAGTAATCTCGTAGATGGCAAACTCAGGACGCCGGCTTGCTACGAGTATACTCGTAGTTGGCAAATATCAAGCGTTTACTTACTACGAGTATACTCGTAGTTGGCAAATATTAAGCGTTTACTTACTACGAGTATTCTCGTAGTTGGCAGCGAACAGGTTAACCAACTCCTATATTTTAGCTAAATATTAGTTTCTTGTTTGCGCCTTGATTGTCCAAAAATTCACGCAACGTTAATTAATATTAGCATGACGTAACACATAGTTCGCATAATTAAAAGTTATTTTTATTTCATCATCGTGGGTCATAGTATCTTTCGCTTACCTTTTTTTTATTCATGATAACTGCCAATGTGCATGTGCAAACAAAAAACACAACTCTATTCTATCACATCTCTATTCTAATGCATCAAATAAGCTACGTTGTTAGTCACCACAATGAGTTATACTCAAAAATACTTACGAGTATACTCGTACTTCGGAACTGGAGAAAATAAATTATTCACCAGTGCCAAAGTACGAGTATACTCGTAGTGCTTATTTTTTGTCAGTTATATTCAGTATAAAAAGTACTATAAAAATTTATTTGATTAAAAATATTATAATTATTGAAATGTTGATATCTAACTTTGGCAATGGGAATGAAACCATGCAAAACAGCCTCGGCAAAAGTTAATCATATCAGAATTTACGGCTCGACAAAGAAATAAACCATAGCTAAAAATAGCTCGGCGGTTAACGTGTTAAGTTACGTTTATATAAATGAAACAACAAAACACGTAAACAACAATATTAAAAAATCGTTTTTTTAAATTAAAATAAGTTTTAACAAAATAAAAATATTATTAATATAATTTATTGGTAAAAAATCATTTAACAAAATTTTTTCACTTTACATTGTGTTTCATCATTCATAATGAGAACAATACTCTGTGTTAACACAGAGTATTGTGAAACATGTTTCATCTATGAAGACTCATCATATATACTTTTTAAAAAAGTTTACACATTTAGAACAGTTTTGCTAAGTTACATTATCACTCCTTTACTACCTTTTTTACAGCGTAATCCCAATTTTTGTTGGTAATTTTCAGCTATTTTCATTGGTTACCATAGCAACAAGCTACCATCTTACATCATTATTTTTTATAGTCAGTATAATATTTAGTGTTTGAATCAAGAAAAAAAGTAAGTAAATATGTGTTGTTTAAAAATTTTTAGGTTATTTGCCCAATTGAAATATGACATTAGGAAAGTATCTTTTGAAATAAGGAACTAATTTTCAAGCAAAATTCCTGCCTTAAAACAAGGAAATTAATATGTAATAGTTTTCTTTATATAGTCAATGTTGCATCAACGTATATAACGCAATTTGATGATTTATCGTAATATTATTGAGGCTAATAATTTTTTATATTTTTACTAGAGAAAATAAGAATGTCTCACTTTTACCTCTAGTAAAGAAATAAAATATTAAATGCCTGTAAGAATAATAGAGAGTATTTCTTTATTTTAAGACAGCGGATTGATTAAAACTTCCTTACTGTATTATTAACTATTATTGTACGTCTACTAATATATATTTTAACTCTCGAATAAAGTACACACTAAAAAATTATGCTGTTATATAAAACAAAAGTATAACAGCAATGGGATACGATATAACAGCATAAATGGCGTTTTTTTGTGTCATTATGGTGTTAGATTTTTACCTTATGTCATTATATTAAGTTAAATAACAGCAAAATGCTGTTATATAAATTTAAATAATAATATAACAGCAAAATGCAGTTATATCGCTCTCCAATGGCGTTATATTCGAAAATCAAGCTAACGGCATAATTTGCCGATATATTTTTTTAAACATGTTTAGTTTTTATTCAAATAAAATCTAAACTAACCATTTATACGCGTAAATTATATATCTAAATAATAACAATAGTTTGATGTAGTAGTTTGATGTAGATTATTAAGGCGTAAAATATATATTACAAAATATTATACAATGACGAAATAAAATCACTTTTAACATAATTGTAAATAGAACACCGCAAATATACCTTGTAAAAACTAATTTCATATCAATGATAAGAATCTACTAATAAATTTTTATGTAACTGCTCAAACTAAGAAATAGGTTTCATATTTTTAAACATGTGTCAATAAATACATTTTCAAAACTTTACAGAATTATTTCAATGAAAGCTTTATATACCGACTTGTTCTTTAAGTAACAACTTAAATATAAAATGAAACATTTTAATAAATTAATAAAGTAAACAACTAGCGTTACTTAAAGACATCGAAAAATTGAGTTAACTGTTTATATGAGCAATATAAAAGCAAGTCTTTTTTGATTTTTTTTCAAAGCATTCGTTTAGCAACACCTCATAAAAAAGACCCCTCAGTTGTGAAAAAGAAGATGGATAAGAGAGGTCTAACAAATAGTATATGCAAACAATAACGCATAAAACCTTTTTAACCGTCCGTAACTCTGTGTTGATCATTTCACACCCTGATCTACTGTGAACGCCATATTGTGTTAAGTTATACAGAACTTGCGGACCATACTTTGCAGGTACCTTTAATTCATCGAGCAGATTATCAGACTTAAAAAACAAACAAATTAAATTATAATTTTACTATTTCTAGAAATTTAATTTAACTCAGGTATTTTCCAAATAAACCGCTAACTTGAAAAAGAGGACATGTTAAGTGAATATTTTCAGGACATGTCCCCTTTTTCAAATTAGCGATTTAAATATTTTAAAAGATTTTGTTGTACCAGATTAAATCATTACTATTCTACACAAATAACTAAAGATTTGATTCTAATCTTTTCAGCTACTATTTCATGATTTTTATTCTTTTCAGCTTTTAATCTGTTTTTGCTTTATAATCTGGTCTTCTGAAAGCGCTAATTCAGCTTTAGATAATGAATCTATAATATAAACCTGTTGAAACTGTCTACTTGCAGATCCATTTAAAGTTGGATGACTTTTGATCCAACGTAGTTGCCTAATTATGTTTGATGCCTGGCTTAAAAACAAATCCTAGGAGAATTTATCTTTAAAAAACTATAAATACAACAACAACAAAAGCACTATAAGCATACATCATAAACACACCTAACAAATATTGTAGAGTAATTAAAATAATTCTTACCGAAGGTTCCAAATAGTTTTGAAAATTTAAAAGAAGTGCCAACTGTCTGAAGGAAGAGCAACTTGAGAATACTGAAGAATATAATTTTTCAGGTGCTCTTTAAAAATATCATTGTTTTTACTTGTGTAAAAAGTTCAAAGTAGATATACTAAAAAAGGTCCTTAAGTGAGAAACCTCATCAGAATCAAAAAGAACTGTTGAAGCCTAAAAAAAAATTGACATAGTAAAATGTTTGACATAATAAATATACCATGCAGTTTTAAGTGATGAAGCATATAACTATAAGTTATAATTTTACAATAAAAAATAGAACAGTTATAATTTATTACCTTTCGTGGTGTCTCGAAGATGTTTTTAGATGCACTATATTGTATAACTGATGAAGATAATTGTCTTACCGGAGGCTGCACAACACTCATACAAGATTCTCCAGCCATATATTGGTTTTCTGAGTTCTAAGTTATTTTCTTTGGTGGAACCACAAAATCTACACAATTATTTAAAATAGATGAACTTTTGGCATGAGTTGATTGAGCTGTGTCAGCTTTATTTAAATCAGATAAAAACCTAACTTGTTGTGAGTTGGATATATTTTTGTCGATACAAGATGTGGAGCTTGAATCATAAGCTCCTTTGTACATTAAGAAGAGCAGTAAAACTATTAGCAGTTACTTAACAGCTGTTTCAATTAACTTCTTCAATTATAGACAAATTGAAGGTTTC